CAGTCACATGATTGAAGTTCCGGTGTGCATGTGAGTTTGTGTTGTGTGTTTTTTTTACCTGTTATATCAACGTCCTATACTCAATCTGTGTCATATTGATTAAGCAGGAATGGATGCAATTTCTTGTGCTGGATGATGCCACAGAGACGGAGACCGCAGAAGAAGTCATCAAGCACATGTATGAATGTGCTGATGGCTCCTCAAGCTCTTCCGTTGGATCTTCTAGCACCACAGACGATTCTAGTTCTTCGGGGAAGGCCACAATGTTGTGCTCAACCTGTGTCGTTTATTTTATATACTTTGTTTTGTTGGATGGAGGCCAAAAAAAAGAAAGGAAAGAAGGGTAAGGAAAAGCAGAAGAAGCGCAGGAAGGAGAAAAAGGAGAAGGATTCAACACCAGTACCAGGGATTCCCAAGGCTGAGGAAGTAGCTGCTGTGGGAGAGGTCTCACCAGACCAGGGAGAAGAACAGACAGAGAAGAAATCGAAGAAAGCCAAGAAAGACAAGGGAAACAAAAAGAAGAAAGACAAGAAAGACAAGAAGAAAGATAAGAAGGATGATAGGAAGCCTGACCCTGTAAAGGAAGCACGAAAAAACATCAAGGCCAAGGCAAACCAGGCTGGATCATTCCCCATAAGTGCTCATAAATATTTTGGACTTGGACCCGTATTTTCTTATTGTTCTACTAATGCATGTGCAGTGAAATGTCCTCACATTCTTGGCAGGCCACAAAGCTTGCTCAAACCAAGCTGCAGGGGGTTCACGCATTGCTGCAAAAGACTGCAAATATGTTCCCAACTCAAACTTCTCTTATCCCAAAACCAAAAACACATGTGTGCAGCTAGCGTCCTAAGGGCCGAAAACTACAAGAAGGCGATTGAGAGCGATGTGACTGAGAAAATGGAGTCATTGAAGCGCGAACGTGCCAAGTTGGAAGTGGCACTTGAGACAGATCAGGTGCCTAGCTTATACCATCATGAGCAACAAGTAAGGTCTTCCTAGCTGTCATGGATCCTGGAGCCCAAACTTCCCAGGACGACCTGACGAGTGGCACTGATGCAGTCAAGGCTGCATGCACAGCTTTGGACTCGGCGCTGGAACCTTGCAAGCGGGCCAAAGTGTCGGGAAAAGCTCAGCCCTCCGCCAAAGCTGTCTAATTTTGTAGGTTGCGGTAGCTTTCAAAACCCAGTGCTTCGGGGATTGTGACATGAAACTGTCACCTTTTGCGGCTGGTGGCCCCTGACCAAACATCATGTCCCCCAAAAAATAACTGAACCCAGGCAGTTTTGAGTAAATTCATTTGTGTGGTCCAGGGCTCCAGCTTCTAGTAGGGCACATAGCACTGGGATGTAGTAGAGCGAACACGTTTGAGGAAGAGAAAAGAACAAATCATTCTACTTTGGCAAATCATGCAAGAGCCTGATCTTGACTCGCTTTCAAAAGCAGTGCATAGTTGGGAACTAGCCAACTTTGGTATTTTAAGCCTGGAAATACCAAAGTTGGCTGATCAATCCCTGTTTAGTTTTTCTGACACTCGCAGGTCGAACATCAGAGTTCATCGAAGACCAAGTCAACAAACTTGCTGATGGGGTCATGCCCTCAAATCGACTTCACTCCATCTCGTCACTCCAAACTTACCAAAGCTCAGGCTCACACACTGGCGACTGTCATGAGCTCTGCAAGCGCTATGTGCAAGGCAAGGCTCAAAAAACTTGTGAAAAGTTGTTTTTTGTCTCGAATGAGGTCTAGTTCCTATGAACCAAATGAGTTGAAAGTGACTTATTCTTCTTTGCTCTCACAATGTGCTCAATAATTCTGAAGCGGGTGAGAAGTTTCTATATATCGATCAATCTGTCTTTCGTTGTGTGGATTGGATTTGCCAAGGAAAGTAAAGGCATGGCATCAGACTGGACTCGAGCTTTGGCCAAGTCCACCAACAAGAAGAATGCGGCGAGAAACTTCTTCAAACATACTCCCCTTCCCGTGGACAGGTTTTGCTGGTGAAAACTGGTGCACCAAACTCTTAAACATGGTCTATGTGTTAACATGTTGTACTAGGTTACCAGGTGGGATAAAAACTTTACTAAAGGCTGAAGAACAGGCCTGTGCATGTGCCTATATGGGTATGCCCTTTGAGGAGCCTGATTGGGTCAAGATCGCGGTTCTAGACGACAAAAAGGATGGAACACAATTTGAGAAGTACATGCCTGTGCTACTACCTCATTCCATCTTACGGTTCTTATTTACAGAGGCAGGGCTGCACATCAATGAACGTGTTATCGGGTCGTTCTGGCGACATTTGCAACAAGTTCAACACCCCTTGTCAGCAAAAGTTGGTGGGTCTGTTGAGTTTATTCCAATTGGAATTCATGGGGATGAGGCAGCCTATGGGGCTGACAGGGCGGCCCCAGACAAGCTTACATGCATCTTTATGGATCTGCCATTGTGGCGACCAAAGAACGCGCGCCTTTCCAGGTTTTTACTTTTTGCGATTGATTCAACACAACTTGTGGGATATGAATCTTTGCACCCGGTACTTCAGCGAATTGCCCAAAGTGTCAACCTGGCCTACTCTGGAGTTGACGTTGATGGAACTCCAATATTTGGCGGACGCCGATTCATTTTGACAGAGCTGCGAGGTGACCAGGTGTGGCATAAATTTTTATGGAGGCACTTGCGATGGTGGAGATCACGTGATGTATGTTTTCGCTGCAAGGCTGTGTCCAAAGACGGGCCCTGTTACTGGGATTGTGGGGATGCTGCGGCATGGCGCTCAACTGAGATTTCTACAATTGAATTTCTTGCTGAGGGCGTGCCATCCGATCTACTGTGCCCTTTTGCATTGTGCCATGGTTTTGATATTTCGACCATACAGCATTGCTCCATGCATACCGTGAACTTGGGCCTCGCCTTTACTTTCAATGGTTCGACGCTGTACCATCTTCTCAACATTGGTTGGTTCGGGTCGCCTGAGACCCCACTGCTCGATAGGCTGAATCATGCATATGATGACTTCCTCATTTTTTGCAGGATTGAGAAGGTGAGGTGCTCCCAAAAGCGATTCCGGGTGAGCACATTGTTGAAAAAAGCAAATGGTCCTTTCCTCACTACCAAAGCTCACAATGCAAGGGTAGTTGTGGCTTGGTTGGCCAGGTGTGCTTTGGACGCGTCATTGGGTTGCTTCCCACCAAACAGGATATTCGGACAATGGCTTCGCGATGAGGGATTGCCGGCTCCATCTGATGAGTTCTCAGCTCCGGAAGCTGTGGCAATGGCCAGCTTGGCGCAATGGTATGCCTTGACTGAGAGATATCCACGTTTGCTGTCGCCTGGCTGACTTGTCAGTTTTGGTTTGTCATGTTTGCTCCCTTCTACACTTTGGGCTCTGGCTAATCCTTTCTTGGTGAAGCAAGGTCAGCTGCGCAGGCCAATGAGATCTACTTAGCTGGTCTCAAAAGCCTTGAGATGCATGTGTTTTTGACCCGCCTTTGTATTCAGAAGGGGGTGGTATCCTGGCAAATGAAGCCCAAATTCCACCAGTATGAGCATATCTTGCTGAACACCCGCACCTGGAGTTGCTGGGTTTGTTTAACTGAGGTACACTTTTGGGGTGGGAGTTGTAGTTGTTATGTAGTTGTCAGGTTCAAACGCCTATGTGCCTGCAGCATGTTTTCTTGGTGTGTGACTCTCGGGAAATCCAAGGATTGAACAGCCGGTTTACACATACCTTTGTGGATGAGGATGCCATTGGTTGGTGCAAGCTTTTGGCGAACAAAGTGACCAAAAGAAAAATGGTTGAGAAGTCGTTGATTCGATCTGCAAGGCTACGACTTTTGACCTTGAAATGGAGGTCAAAGGTCTTGAATGCCAGTGCAAACTGGAGGGCACTGAAATGAAAAAGAACCGGTGAGAGTGTGAAGCGTGAACAAGCGTGAATAGGTGTGAAAAACAATGCAGGTACGAAAAGACTATTAAAAACAATGCAAATCTCTAAGCGCCATAGTTACTTTGGCTCTTGGAAGCCTAGGGTGTACATAAAATCCTCTATCAACATCGTATCGAACATTTAGAAAATCCTCCAGATCAAAGAGGGCCTCCTTTTCCCGTAAAAGAAACCTTCATCAACATGTTTATTCTTCAATACTTTTTCTTGTAAACTGTTCATCAGACTAACAGATTTCGAAAGGTGATGTCGCTGTGCCATGCGGTTTTGCGCGTCCTCGTTGAAAAATGCGCTTGCGTGGCTCTGTGCCATTGGGGCAGGGTGCACATGCGCGTGTAAATGCGACGTGTCGCTCCTGAGGGGCACGATTGATGGTGATTCCAGTGGGTGGGCACCTACATTAACAAAAAAACATAAAAATTAACTGTCTTTGAAGTTTCGGAGTAGTTTCAGAAGGCGGAAAGGAACAACACCGCTCTTATTTTTTGGAGGAGCTTTGGAGGCGTCCCAGCGCAGATGCTGGCCAAACTTCAGGAAAGACACCGGCTTGTAAATAAGACCAAGATAGACCAAGCAATTTGAAGAACCAATCCACAATCCACACTAATCCACATGGTTTTTCTATGGCTATGGGCTTTCTAGTGGGCACTAAGGACTATGGGCAGACGTCTCTATCTGGTGGAGGGATGGCGGGGTTCGCTTCGAGGCATAGGCCTTTTCTCGGCCTTGGCTTTCCTCATCGACGGCGGTGGGGAGGAACGACATGGAACGACCGGAGTGCACACTGAAGCCTGTTCGCTCGCTGGCTCTGTTCCCAGCTCTGGAACGGTACACCCAAGATGGTTTTGTTTAACATTTTACACGCAAACCTGCTTGCCAGAAAGCCATCTCAGTGTCAGCTGAAAAAAACATCACCCCCATTTTTCAGACTTCGTCGCCCCCTCCCGGCCCTTTCCCACCCCAAAAAACATGAATAGCCACGTAGAGAACGTAAGAGGCTTCAAAACCCCAAAGCTGGGCTCTCTCGGCTCCGCTTGCTCCGCTCGCACCGGTCCAGGTGGACGGCTTGACCATCGTCACGGACGAGGCCTCGGCGGACCGAGCCTTGGCCGAGCTTCGCAGGCGGGGACGGCGGGCGAGCGGCCACCGCGGTGCGGTGGGGTGGAAACCATTAGAAACCATTAACTAATAGCTTCTTGTTACTACTAGTAAGGCACTTGTTACTAGTAGCGTGGCACTTGTTACTAGTAGCTTCTTGTTACTAGTATCCTGAAAGATGGTTTGAAGACCATTCAGAAGATTTTTGGCACCAAGAATTGGACAGTCAGTATAGACTCAGTGGGAGAAGCGTATATGGGATCCCATTTGGGCGAGGGTGTTTTGTGGCAGTCAGTGCAACAACCCTCGTCTCCGTTCGGTGTTCGGTGTTCGTTTGCATTTCACGGTCTCGCTGTCGTTTGTGCAGTGTTGTTCCCTGTGCGAACAGCGTGGGCCCGGTGAGCCAGCGTTGGGTCGGTAGAGTTCGTGAAAGGTCAGAGGATGTCAGACGGTCAGACGCAGAAGTGGAGAAATTGGTTTCGTTCCATACCCAGACCGTCCATGGGTCTGGAATACCTGTGAAACCACCTGCGGTCTAGGATAGTTCATGTAGGATCTTCCTATTCGTGCTCCTTCACCTCGTCGCACTCGGTTCCCGTCGACCGTAGCCGTTTCAGCCAACGAGAGCTCGATCCATTCAGCCCCAGTCACTTGGACGTGTGACACGTGGATGGCTGGGCTGGGAGGGACGCGTGGCGTTGGTGGACGCGGCCGGGCCGCTGGCCGCTGGTGAGGGTTGAGGTCGCAGACCGCGAACGAAGACCAACTGAAGACCAACAACTTTGTGCGTTTTTCTTGCCAGAATGGTGTGGATGAGGCTCCTGCACTGGTTTGAGGGAGTGGCTGGGCATCATTTCAGGGACCTGTTCTTTAAAACTGGTTTCAACTGACATTCTACAGCAAAACCACTTCTGGCAGCTTCTAAGCACTCCTGTATTACTTTTCGAGATTCCTGGATTGCACCCAATTGAGGAGGTCTTTGATTTCTCCCTTGGTTGGTGGGTGATTTCGGGGTGCGGGCCGGACCAAACAAAAAAAGAACCCTCTCCAATATAGACATGCCCAGGTCTGGGCGGGCTTCCATCAGGAGAGAAACAGCCGTAAAAATCACGTCGACGTACTGAGAGAGAAATCCATCTTCAGCCCCTCAACCCTCTTGACCTCCGGTTGCGGGCCTCGTCCCTACCCTCTCAGTGCCAAAGATGTGGCCTCTCAGGTGGCGATGCCGGCGAAAGATGTGGTCGCAGCCTTCAAGCGCTTCGATAAGGAGTGGGCAAACACCAGGCAGAGACTGGCTGAGGAGGAAGACTTCGCGACTTTTGATTCTGTTGAGGTTCAGGTTCGTTGAATGAAGACTTGCCGATTCTGTAGACTTAGACTGACTCCCTTCATGTTCGGCATGAATTTCTGATAGATGATCAGCCCAGTTCTTGGACCAAGATCGCCATCCGATGGAGCTAGATTCGTCCCGGAGCTCACGATCCGCTGCCGCCCCAGTCTCTCCACGCGATGCAGGACGGCTCCGGCAGCATCAGCCGGCAAGAGCTCGCGGCGGTGCTCAAGGGTTTGAACCCAACGGACGCTCGGGACATGAGAGAATTGAGGGGCTGGGTGGGGGAAGGGAGTGGGGAAGGGATAGAAGATAGAAGCTGATACGCAGGGACCTAATCTCAGATTGGGTTCAGAAATACGTGCAATGATAGTTTGTGTAGACTCTTAGTTCAATATAGTTCACTTGCTTCTCCTGAAGAGGTGTTACAACCCATGTTTTCTGGGGGAGTCTACACTGCTTGACTTGACCGGTGATACTCTTTTGGTGTCGAAAGGGGCAAGGTGTTCAAAGGACAACGTTGATGTGACCTAATCGTATCGTTTTGTGTCGAACGATGATGATGATGATGATGGAGGAGGAGGAGGAGGACGACGACTTTAATAACTAGTTCTTTAGCAACCGTTTGCACACGTAGCTGGGTCATTGAAGGAATGGCTTCAAAGGTGTTTCTTGTGCATCCATGTCCATTCCATCCACCAGAGACATTTTGTCAGAAGCCATCAGAAGCCCTAGCATTCTGTGGTCACTGCCCCAGCATAGAGAGAAAGAGGTAGAGAGTTTTTGCTCCAACCACGCGAATTGAAGACGTGTAGTGCTTTCCTGATCACTGGGGTTCTCCAAATTGGATACCAAAGCATGTTGCAAGCAAGAATGCTGCTGAAAGCCAGCGGCACCTGGCCGAACTTCCCTGCAGCTCTAGATTCTTTAAGGAATCAACCACTATGACTATATAACTACTGAGAGTGCAGATGGAATCCCGCCTGAGTGATCCAGTTTTTGTGTAAACCCAGCTGATCTTATCGCCTCTTGACACACCAGGACCTCACATCGAACATCTCCGTCGCCCCCGCGACATCGAAACCAGATCGCTGTTTCGTTCCACGTCGCCAACGGAACGAGTTCATGCAGCTTGATTCTGGAGGTTTGGTTTGTGCTTCGCAACGGTGTTCTCGGTGTGGGCTTCTTAAACCCCTAAGCCGGTCCAGTCCCAAACCTGGCCCGATCAACTCCAGTCCAGTCGTGTTTGATCAACTCCAGTCCCGTGAGGTCCGAGGTCGTTGGCCTCCTGGAGTGGTCCGACCATGTCATGCCTTGCTAGCTAGAAGCTAGCTTGGAGGCCGCTATTAGCTTGGAGTTGGCCAAGAAGCTACTAGGTGGCCATCGCTACTCCAGCAGCTACTAGGTGGCCATCGCTACTCCAGTACTAGTAAGAACATCCTTGCTTGTAGCCTTCAGGCGTGGGACGATGCCTCCATCGACCGGCTCATGCGCGGCGCGGACCGCAGCGGCGACGGGCTGCTGCAGATCGACGCTCGGTGAACGCAAAAGCATCCGGTTTTCACACACATTCTGAAATACATCGGGTTTGGTCAGCCCTCATCGGTTTTCCAAGAACCTTTTGTGTTTAAAATTCTAAAAGGCTTTTGTTGATTAACAATAGTATTGAATGGGCTTCTGTTTGTGCCCAGGTCCAATTGTTGCATTCCTCCACCCAGCTCGCGTACACCACAAAGAGAATCAAGAATAACTTATATATAATGTATAGAAAGTTTCTGCTCTGCCTGTATAAAGAGTGGTGGAGAACATCACCAAAGATCTTGACACCTGAGACATACTGTGATGCAAAACTATGCAAAAACAACAGGTGGATTTCAATCTCGTGCCATACACGTACTTTACCCGCACTTTTCAACAAATATCTTGGCCTAGGGTATTTGAAAGAACGTGTTGTTTTCGCAACCCGTGCCAAACCCGTATTTTAACCGTACTAACCGACCCGTATTTGTTAAACGTTTATTTTTTGGGACCTTTCCATACTACAGTTTTTGAATGATGTTTTGAACCGTTTTGATTTTCTTTTTCGGTTTACACACACTTGGAAACACAATCATGTTTGTTGCTCATATTTTCGGAGGCAGGCCTTCCGATGCGTTCAAGCGGAGAAATTCAGTAGCAGCACGTAGCCTGAATTCATGATTTGCTGTGAGTGGAATGGTGGGACAGGATGAGAAGGGGTCAGTGAAAGATGCGGAGAACGGATTAATTAACTATATTTTCAATAGCATTTGGTTTTCATGGTGTGACCCCTTTACACAACGGTTCTTGGTGCTTAAATTGAGTGTTTAATTGCTTTGGGATGCCTTGGAAGGTAGTTCCATGGTTTAACTTCACAATGAACTGCAATGCGCGCTTCTTCGGAAGAGATCGGGTTCCAGACCCAGACACCGGTCCCGTTTACACACCGAGGAAGAGTTCGTGGAATGGGTCTTCGCGGCCATGAAAGTGGACTCCAGCGTGGGCAGCGAGTATCACCTGGACCGAGTGACCAAGGCGCCTTGACGCCAGTCTCGGACTGGAACATGGTGAAACCGGTGGTCCGAACGACATGGGGATTCCACGGGGCTTCCCAGTTTTTGCCCTTGATGAGATAGATATTTGTGCCCTCATGGCTGCCATGCGAAACACTTCCGCCACTTTGCCACTATAGGAGCAGGAGACCAAAATGATCGAGGAAATTTTCACCCACTTCGATTTGGACGAGGACCCGGCTTGCCTCGGTGGGGTTGACAGCGGGGGTTGGCGCCCCCAACACACCATGATCGGCGATGACCTGCAGGACTCCAATTCTTCAAACATTCCAACATCGGACCGTCCGCGGTTGGAGACAGATGCATTTGCTGGCTCGTTCGATCCCTGTGAAGCCACCGTAAACCACCTGTGAGTGAAAGCACCATACACCGTAAACCACCTCCACCTCACCTTATGATGCCGAGGGCCCTTTTCGATGCCAACGAGTTGCAGTTTGATGAGTGGATCTCAGCATTGGTGGGAGAGCTGGAGAGCTCTAGGGAGCCATGAGCATGTCAAGCGGCCGATTTAGGGGAGTTGTCTAACGTTATTTTGGGTTCGTGGATCAATCAGAGGTCCACAGTACCTGTAACAGCCAGTAAACAAGCAAATTAGTTTTTTAGAGACAGGCCTTTACTCCCCATCATCATCCACTGTTACTGGTGATAGATTAGACCCGAGGGATATGGTTTAATTGATAATGTTTGATTTAGTTGCCCTAAGGGTCCAAACCCTCAAATCGCAAGTTGTGCCTTAAATTGTGAAGGAGGGCGCGTCCATTACTATGCGGATTATTCTTATAGGGCTATTGACATCCCAGAGGCAGATGCTTCGTTCATCACGAAAGGTAGCGGTTACGCTACCTGAGTTGTCTTTGCTTTAGCAATAATGTATTGGGGGTGGTGAAGTGCTCCGGTGCTTGATTTCGGTGGTTTAAAAGTTGGTTTTAAACGTCAGGCGGGGCCCCAATTCGACTCCACCCTGCACAGCGGAGAATTTGGTAGTGATCTGAGCAGAAGCAAGCAGCCAGCAGCAGCAGCAGCAAACCAGCAATGCAGCAGCAGCAGTAGCAGCACAGCAAAGCAGAAAGCAGCAGCAGCAGCCGCAGACATGCTACCTTTCGTCCACCCCCGTCTCCTCAAGTTAGTTTTGGAGTGTCATCACTTTGCAACTGAAGCGGTCGTCCCAAACGGTTTCGGAAGCCGAAACGAGGACCTCGGGCACCAATCAACCGTCGACACTCGGAGTCCGGATCACCGGAAGTGCATCGCTACTAGTAGTTTCTTGTTAGTAGTAACAAGTGCCACGCTAGTAGTAACAAGTGCCTTACTAGTAGTAACAAAAAGCTATTAGAATTAAACTAAACTTAAGTTAAATTAATAGCTTCTTGTTACTAAGTAGAAATGCCAGGAGCTACTAGTAGCGTCCTTGCTCCTAGTCGCGATGCCCCTTGTTGCTATCTTCTTGTTCCTAGTAGTAAGAATGGGTCCCTGTGGTGCCCCTTTTTTTGGGGAGATGTTTCGCCATTCCACAGATGACGAACACAAGGTTGTGAACCCAGTGAATGCTGCATAAACCTTCAACATGGTGAAGACACATGAAGACACATCTTCTACTAGTCAAGCCTGCGAAACACGTCGTGTCTGAAAACCGCATTTTTCCTGCCACCAGGACGGATTCTGGAACTACAAGGAGTCGGCCACTTGTGCCTTGCCTTCTACATCCTTCTACCTTCTTCTCATCCTCTCCAACAATCATGGTTATGTGGATGGCATGCCCCTGGAAAGGTTCTGTGATTCTCCTTCATTCCAAACAGAGGTGATTTTCACTCCAAAAACCGGAAGTGGCAGTCCTCTCGGGTGCCGAGACGCCATGAGTCCGGGTGTCGCCGAGACGGACCTGCGCGGCACCAACCGACGTCCGGGCTGCGAAGGTCGGTCTTGGTAGGTCGACCTCTCGGGGCTCATGGGGCAGGGGGAGCTGGTTAGGTCGACGTCTCCATGGGTGGTTAGGCTGCTTCGGAGCATCGGGTTGCCCTCGATGGGCTCGATCAATTCGGCCAGACCTGCAGAGTTCCGTCCAGCCTCGTCGATCCAAAGGGTCAGAGGACTTAGTCCTTCGGCCACCAATTGCTGCTCAGTCATTGGATGTCATTGAGATGTTCCCAGTCATGGATGGTGTGAACTCCCAGAAACCATCTGTTTCAGTGTAGGATGGTTCACCTCTCAACTTCCCCACTAAACATGCGGAATTCGCGGTATTAGTGCGAGCTTTCACATCGAAGCGCCACCGACGGTCGGATTGAAGTAGTACTGTTTTGTTCCACTAAAGCCGGGGTACATGGCAGACTCCCTTGCACATGCAGGTTGTATGGGTCAGCCTGGGGGGGGTTGTGCACTGCTTCATCCCCAGAATGACCAAGTGTCATGAGCGCCATCCCTCATCCTTTGTACACAAAGTGGTTTCAGAGTAGATGGCGCAACGTCCAAGAAGTCCTTTAAAGATGTTTTTTCCCATATCAACCACCAAACTTGGGGTAACTTGTGCCATCTACTCTGAAACCACTGGACCAGCACCCGACTCTACAGCTCTCCACTGGAAACAAGCTCGACTTCAAGTCGTGGCAGCTGGTGTTTCATCGCTCCGGCGGTCGACTGCCGCCGACTGCACCGCCATCCACACCAGCCGACTGCTCCAGCGGAGCAGGTCAGATGTGGATGGATGGCACACAGCAGAAGGAAGAGACCTTCGTTTGGATGGTGAACCAGCTGAATCCAGGCGCAACGAGGGACCGAGACGCTGCCGTGAGACCGGACGGACCGGGTCTGAAGGGAGAGGACGCACGCGAGAGTCGACGTGAGTGTCCAAGAAGAGCCGACAAAAAGCCAAGGTCTTGAATTGAACATATATCCCTAGGGCTCCAAGTACCTTCTGAGGAGGTACTTGGACCCTCCCAACCCACCCTTGGACACCTTCTTAGAAGGTATAATTGGAGCTCTAGGGTGACATCAGCAGTTGAAACGGTTTGAAACCTAGAATTGGTTCACCGTGGGAGGGTCCAGGCATGTCAAGGCTTGCAGGAATACAGTTCCCTCGTGTAACTAGTTCCTGGGCCCTTTATACAGATCATTTCAAGTGAAGCAGAGTGGGTCCACTTATCTTCCGACTCAAGTGAAAGGAAGATGGACACACAGCCAAAGCACCGCCGTCCCAACGCACGGGGAACAAACATGAGGCGCGGCGGAAGATTTCGGAGTTCGGAGTCTGTTTTCTCTATTTTATGGGCATGGTGGGTAAATTCCATGCATATTCATAGGCCTCATCCATTGGATGCTGAGGCAGGGACACCTCCAAGGGTTTGTCGAAGGCGAACTTGGTGGAACTGTGCTTCGGCCGCGGACGGGCAGGAACCGTTTCGTGCGTTTCGCGGAATGTGTGTGTTTTTTGGTGTTTCCCTGCCCTGAGGGCTTTGTTTTTCGCCTGTAGACTCTTGATGAACAAATAGACATGGAACACGTGAACCTCCGCATACAAATGCGTCATAAACTTTGAAATATGCAATATTACGGTATATTGCAAAGAGTCTGCATGATTGAGTGGGCGGAGCGACAACCTTAGGCCCTAGGCCTCGCGCCAGGACATAGTCCATTCTGTCAACACTAAGAGTTGCACTAGCATGGCTAGCTTGGGCCGTAAGAGGTTTGGCTGTTGAATGCTGTTTGCTTCGTGATTCTGTGAGCCATTTGGAGCCCCAAGGTACACCAACAAGAGCTACCAGATGAACATTTCCAAGGACGCCTGATCCTGTGCAAGACCTGGCCAGTGACGAGACCACGAGACAGACACTCTGGACGAAAACAGAACTCCTCGCAGCACGGAACTCGGTCCGCATCCGGAAGGTCCGGAGTTCGTGGGGTTTTGAGACTGTAAAGAGGTGGTTTCGCCGTGGCCCGTGCCTCCATGTGCCTCCCATGCCGTGCCCGTGGGTTCTACGTGCGCGTGTTGCGTGCCATGCCCGTGCTTCTGACTAACTTCGGAAGATGTCAGAACCAAAAAACTGGTTGAAACACAGTATATTTCATTATGTTGTGGAAGGGTTGTGCATTGATAGCCATACCAGGGTCAACTACTACTGGGTCCAAACATTTTGTTACGCAAATTTCCAATATCCCCTTCAATACTCTGACGTGTATTAGGGATACCTTCAAAGACCTGATATTAGGAGTAGGTGATCCGACCTTCTCTTGGCTGCCTTTGCCCTGGCCAAGAACGGCTTGCAGGAGCCTCGGTCAGGGCAAGTTGCGGGAACACGGTTGCAATTTGGGGTTCCTTTCTTGATCATCCAGACTCCACGTCCCGGTGGTGTCGTTTGAAGCAAAGTGGAAAGCAAGCCCCAATCGTCAACCTCTGGCGGGTCCATGTTCAGCTCTGCCTTTGGAAGTTGAAGCCGACAGACAAAAGATCCAGCAAGGTCTGAGTTGTGGTAAAGCAGGCGGCACAGTCTGGCTTCCGCGTGCCTGCGGTTGCGGTTAGTTGGTCTTCTTTACTGTGACCTGCACATGAGGATCGAAGCGGGCATTGAAGCTGCTCCATTGGAACTATGAGAAGTGCGGTGGTTAACCCTTCGCGATGTTTGGACCCAAAAAGTCTGGGCAAAGGCACTGTTCAGTGTGGAGAGGCGGGCTCCGTGCATCACACTTCCTGCAAGACAACCTGAGCCTCCAGTGGTCCAGTGGGGATGTAGCCTCGACGGCAGTGCATGGATGACATAAATCCCACCAAAGGCCTCCAACTCCAACCCTCAAGGAGCGCACAAGTAGTAATAATGTGGACTCTTGATTGTTAGGTCCACCCGGATGCGTGAAGCCCCACCATATGAACAATGCTGCATTGCCAATGGGTGAATTTGTTAACTACAGTAGCCCATCCCATGGCTTGTTTCTCATAACTGAGAGGGGGGGGCCATGGCAGCCATGGCATTGGTGGAATCAACAAACATGATAGGTAGGGGCCATCCATGTCACTATGGCCAGCAGCACCTCACGTGATGCAGTGTCACCTACCAGTAAAAAAAACCTTGCGAAAAACGCGCGAAATAGAACAAAACTATTTATAGTTCAGCAACTTGCACACATGATATAAAAGACCACAGCGGCACAAAAAACGGGGTTGCAGTTGAAGCTCTTCAACTATAGTTTCCACAGGTATTTGGACGCATGATGTTCCAGCTCGCGAAGTGCCATGGTGGCAGATACGCAGCTCTTCACGACCCTCCAGCGCGACGGGTGGGAGAAACATTGAGCAGCTACGACATCATAGATCTTCCAGAAGATGGGCGACGCACTTGCCACGGGATTCCTTGTGGTCATGGGCCACATACGGTGGGGGAAGCAGGCTGCAGAAGCCCAAATCCACATGGCCACAGAACTCGTTTGGCAGTGCGCGCACATGCTCTCAGACGAAAGCTTCGACATGTGGCAATGATTTGTTAACCTGTGGTCCAACCTTTGTTTGGGCACCCTTTGTTTAGTTGCACGGTCCAGCAGTCAGGGTCAAACAGTTGGCTTATCCAGGCGGGTCCAACCTTTGTGTCAGAAGGGTCCACGATCTAACCATCCCAGAGTCCAGCCTTGTAGTCGAACATTATTTTCCAACCGGTCTATAGAGGTCCAGCCTGGTCCAGCCTTGCGTGGGTGGCCTCCACCTAACCTATACGGGTGCCACGGGATGTATAATTAATCTTTCATGGTTTGGGACTACCAACCTGCACGCGCTCAGGAAGCATATCGGCTTGGCCGGAGTGTGCGTGAGGAAGGGGTCGAGAGTGTAGCTCTCGCTCTGAATTGCTGCCTGAAAGTGTGGCACGAGCTGATACCAGAGGAACCGCTTCGGACCTTTGGTTGCAGCCAAGGCATGGCAGGCATGGGCATGGGTTGAGCCCAGGCCGCGAACGATCACACAATACGTTTTTGACCTCATCGTGAATGGACTGAAGCGGGTTGAGTTTCGCGCCTTGTGTGCGAGGGGACACGTGTTTTGTAGCCGGTCAAAGTGCATTTGGTTTACTGCACTGAAGCTGTGTGACCTCTCAGGACCAAGAAAGGTCGAAGTGGCTGCCAATGCTTTGCTTGTTCTTCGAGTCGGCAGCTTGGCTTGGGGGTCCTACCTTTCAGGGCCCCTGCAGGGGTCATCGACATTTTTTCCTTTGCGGGCAAGGTGTGCACACGGGCGGGGCTGGTTTGGGTTGGTGATTGTCATTTTTTGGCTTCTGATGCGGGGGTGCAGTCACGGGTTTTCATTCTTGATGAAGAGCTTGGAGGAGGCAGCAACATCCGAGGGCCGGACTTCCACTTGGTGGCCAAGATATTGGGTTGGAAACAGCAGGGTTGGAGTTGCAGGGTTGGGCGTTTGGAGCTTGCAGGGTTCGCTTTCAGGGTGCGCAGTTGACGGTAACACTAACATCTGAGCTTTGAGAGTTGGTGAGACGCTAAAAAATATGGTGTTCAAAATGTTTTCTAGATGATAGTTTATGAAAATTTTATGAAAAGCGTTTGCGAAACAAAAAATTGTTTTCTGTTTTAAGAAAACTTTTTGGATGTTGTACATGCTTGAAAAGCAGTTACGAGTTGTGGTTTTTTCATGGACCCAACAAATCAAAAAACGCAAAAGTTTCATACTTTTCATCATTTTCTGCGTTTTCATGACACAATATGAAACATTTAATGAAAGTTAAGAAGGTGGTTTGTACTTCTTTATGTATTCCACAAATCAAAAACATCATCAAACACATAGAAAGTTTCATGTATTTTTTCGAATTGGTTTTGAAATTTTATTTATGAAAGTTCTATGACTTTTCTGAATTGATTATTCTGATTTGTTGAACACAAATCTTCACTAGACATTACAAATCTTAAAATATACAAACAAGTCATTGAAAAACAAAAAATCAGTAAAACACGAATGAATCTCCAAAAACTGAGGACCAATTAGTTGTCACCAAAAAACAAAAGCACATAAATAACAGTTATCAACTAAACAATTCTTTGGCTTTCTTCCCGACTCTCAATCTGAGCTTGGACATCTGCGGGGGCTTTGAGGGTTGGAGCACTCTGTCTCCCAAAAGTATGTTGGTTTGTTCAATCAGCTCACGAAAGACAACCTAAGCCAAGAAGATCCTCCTCACAGCTGCGCCGGGCGTAGAGGAATGTAGAGGAATTCAGGACCCTGCTGAATGGCCAGGGTGAAAGCTTCTCAGGCCCAGGCAGACACATACACCCTTCGGCAGAAGCTGCCAGTGCCAACGCATCGCTCGCTCATGTGCTGGATGGCTTTCAGAGATGGCCTGCCTGCAGTTTTGCTGCTTGCAGTGCACACATTGTTGTGATGGAGCCGTCGTGGAACCCCACACACGAGACATCCAAACAGCAGGCCGGATTTCGCGGCAGACGAAGGTGACCTACTGCTACCGCCTCATCGGTGCTGACACGGTCGAGGAAGACAGGTATGCCTTGTGCGAGAAGAAAGTTTTCACAAAAACATGCAGGGTCTCCTGCGACCTCACCCGCTCTAAAGCCGAAGATCCTACAGCCTTATCTGTGGCCACTTCCTGCGGGGAGGAAAGGGCACGGCGTGAAGCCCTGCGATGGGGACACAACTGTGGTGTTGGAGGAGACGGCGGAAACACACATATTTTTCGTTTTTGGGTCGCTCTTGCAGGTGGGTCGTTGGAACCTTAGCTGCGCATGGGTTGGGTGTTTTGGCAAGCCATGACGCCTCATAGCATGCAGCCCGAACATGTGTGTTTGCAAGTGGTTGACATGTTTGGTCGAAAATGCGGTCCATTTGACCTGCTCTTCCTGTCTCTGATTCATCAGGTACTTAGGTGTCACTTTTTGATTTGTAAATACTTATAAGTCATACTTACGAAAGTTATGTAAGTCTGAAAAAGGACTTACAGAGAATTTACAAAGATTTACAAAAACCACGTTTGGAGACTGCTTTGGCAGCACTTGCAGCGTGTGGAAATTTGCATGCATAAAGCCGTAAAATTATTGTTTGAAACTACGAAATTATGATATCTATGTAGCCGCACGTTTTCTGGATACATATTGTATTTCTTTTGGTCTAAATATGAAACGTACCTGTCAATGTGCACATATCACATCCTGTATATATACTGAAGATTCTTGGGTTTTGCTTTTCATATTTCGGTCATTACCGATTGTCGGTCGTTACCGAAGGTTGACATTGACCGTGGCATTTGGTTTATAGTCAGGGGGTTCGGATTTCAGCTCGAAGGCACCTTCAGATATGGGGGACGAAGAGAAGCCGGTGTCCTTACCCATTGAATTGAACAGTACTTTGGCAGTTTTGAGACACACGCAAACATAGCGTACATATTTTCCATTTTAAGCACGACTCGAAAAATCACTTGTGGGAACGGTCATTACCGTGGGTCTTGGATTAGGGTCATTACCCAAAACCACCCCATACCACCCCATAACACCCCATACCACCCCATACCACCCCATACCACCCCATACCATCCCTATACCATCCCTATACCATCCCCATACCATCCCCATACCATTCCCATACCACCCAAGGTATCCCCATACCATCCCCATACCATCCCCATACCATCCCCATACCACCCCATACCACCCCATACCATTCCCATACCATTCCACATATCTATTCAGACGTGCGGCTACATAGATATACATCCATACTATGCTATGATACTATTTCTGAAAGTTAGCAAGTGCAACAAACCCAAGAAGCACAAACAAAAACTTTCAGCCAAGGCTGACCTTTCCTAATTCAAAAGCCAGAGAAAGGTTGCGTCGCCAAGAAGCACAAAAGGTGCAGTTATATCTCACAAAGTCGGCTTTGCACGCTTGCAACAACCAAAATGGCGCTTGCTCACAGTTTAATCACAGATATTTGCAATCACCATTCTTCAAAATCTGCCTTTTGCATTTCATAGCACAAAAAACTCAAAAAACATAATCTTAGAAACACTAAAAAAACAAGTTTTTTGGAATTTACAAAAATTATGAAATAGTTTTTGTAGATTTTGTAACCATACTTATAATATATAATCAACTACAAATTCAAAAGTGACACCTAAGTAGTGGATCGATGGCAACGTGTGGATTCGACGTCTCATGGCTTCCTTGGCCAGGTTCTGACCTGTCTTCCACCTCAATGTCGAGATCCATGTCGATGAGAGAAAAAGTTCTCTTCATCCACACTCTTTCTCTCGCTCAACAAATTCTCTCATCAAATGAATTTCTCCACAACTGCTCCTTCTTTTGATTTTGCACAAACATCCCTTTCCTCCAAACAAGCAAGGAGAAAGAAGTGTTCTCAAAGAATGCTCACTCAAGCTTACGTTCAAACAAAAGGAAACGAGAGAGTCAAGAAACGTTCAAAGAGATCATACACGACTGCTTGCTTACAGGTCAAACCCTTGCAAAAAAGTGACAGAGGTTTGGCATTCAATACAGTGCCATGAATTCATGCATCCTGAGCTGATGTGGTTCCACTGGAGGACCTCGAGATTCGAGCAGGCTTGGACTGCCAGCGCCTTTCCATTGATATCAAACCCATTCTTGCCAGGAGCTGCATGCCTGTGGCCTTGATTCCTCAGAAGAACTATCCAGGAAGAAGAATGCAAGGACTTCCATCAAAGCAGCAGCCCCGCCTCCATTTGCAGACGAAGTGGTGGAGATTTGGAGGACTGGGCTTCCAGGGTTGGAGGCAGTAATGCTGCAGGAAAATAGCGAGTTGGAGCATGTGGTTGGAGCAAACATGTGCTAGGCTTTGAGGAGGGCATACAAAAGACTATTTTTTGACTCGTACATACTCGTACCCACCCCTGTATAGGCCCGTGAGTAGGCCCATGTATATGCATTTAGCATCCACTGCGCACGTCAGGAGAAAACACGCCTTGGCTGCGGTCATTCCTGCAAAGCCTGGACCCACACTGCAAGGGAATCACCGTGAAGAGTTTCAGAGGATCGTCTACCTTTCAATACTCTACAAAGAAGCTCAGGAATCCTTGCGCAACAGCTTGCCAGGAGCTCCTTACGATTCCCTGGGGGCTGATGGCGGAAAAGAACGCTATCTGTAGTTCACGGTCAGCACAGACGGCAGCAAATGGGTCGTGGGGTTCTGAAACAGTGAATCGCAAGCGAAGGATGCGCCTAACACTGCGGCCGCTATTGAAGAGAAAATGACGCAGGTCGAGCAGGAATATGGCGAAGCGTGCACTAGCATTTGCTTTGACAACGAACCCCTTGACGAGCGTCGAGCTTGGCTTTTGCAACCAGCAGATGCTTGGCTGTGGGCCCATTGTCTTTCTCACCGACCCACAGAACATATTGCGCGCCCATGAGGAGGGGAAGCAGTATCCGAAACCTCATGGACATATAGATCCGCGCTCCTGATTCCGTATGGTGGCGGACCCATCTTGAGATTGCTCGACGATGGTTCTTGGCGCAGGCCATCGACAAGGTCTATCCAGAGGAAAGCCAGGACGAAGAGCGGAGACAGATCAAGAAGGAGGTGGGGGAGTATGTGACTCGAAAGGGTGCCTGGGCAGGCAGGTCAGCGTGGCAAGATGCTGCAGTCTACCAGACCACGACCAAGCTGTGCAGCTGACGTGAAGTTGTCTCTTTTCAGCGAGCTCTGCCTCTACACAGTTTCTCGTGCACCCATGGAGCATCTTCAGCTTTCCAAAGGCTGATGCTGAAGCTGGCCACGGTGCTCGCAAGTGAAGGAGGAGTAGAGCTCGCCTTCTCTGATTGGATGTTGTGGTGCCAGAGATGTGGTCACCCTTTTTCGGACAAAGTCCCTTTGGAGCTGCAGCTTATCGAGATCTAGGTTTACCAGCATTGGGCAATGGAAGATGCTGCCAAGCTTGGTGGAGACATCTTCAGTGAAGATTAGCTTGATAACGAGAAGATGGACCCGGAGCTGGAATCCCGTGAGGCAGGTGATGCAGGAAAAGGGAGATCGTGAGCGCCAGCTGGAAACTTTTGCCAAGGAGCGATACCTCTGAAGCGACGACGAGGAATGAAGCCTATAGATGAAACGATCTATGTGAGCAGTGAGCGGTTCTGACATCATGTTTGACGCATAAAGTGGGGCGCTGTAAATGTTTGATTTGCCAGCGGAGTGAGCAATTCCAGTAGCTCGCTTTAGGTTGTGATTCCAGGGTTGGCACCCAGCAGGGTTGGACACATCAAAGGTTGGAGTCAAATTTCACTATCGCCCCCTTCCAGGTCGTCAGGGTTGGCGTCAACCACCAGCGTTACGACACATCGAGGGCCGGGCCACTTCAGGCTTGTCTACACTTGACTTCGACACACCAAGGGTTGGGGTCACAGTTTGGTTGCTCTCATCAGGGTTGTCAGGGTTGGAGTAAGATCCGTTCTTTTAAAAGCCACAAGGGTAACAATCATAACTACAACTTTAGATGGTGACTCATACATATTTGGGCAGAAGCCCTGTAGATTAGTCAACAATGGCTCCCTTGAGCCTACATAGACGTGCTATTGTCTTCAACACGCGCAGGGTTGGAGCCAGCCTATTGCAGGCTGCCTTCGCCAAGCTGCTGCTGCAGCCTTCTCATCGCCCAGCCTTCTAAACCCTGAGCGAATCCACACTGATTTTCACTTTCGGCTTTCATGACTTCGCTCGATGCCATGAGATTTCAGCTGGCTCCTTTAGGGCTACACTGCACGCTTAATTACCCTTATAAGCTTTGAAAAAATAAGCGTATTGTGTTAGGGTGCATGAACACCGATACGGCGTATCTTCTGTTTGAAGTGATGGAAAGTCAAAAATATTGGGTTCCACGGGCACACGGGCACGAGAGAACTGCCACGGGCACGGAACGGGCACGGGACCCACTTAGCAAGATGGTCACAGGGACTTGGGGTTAACGTGGTCCACCCCCTGCTTCTCATACTTGCAAAACGAAACAGATTCTTCCCGCAACACCCCGCAGAAACCGAGATTGATCGTGGGAAATGCCCAAGGGTTTCGATATATTTGGCAGCAAACATGCATGCCTTGCATGATATATATTGTATATATACACAATTTGTGCGTTTTGATGGCTTGGTTTTGGTTTCTTTTGGTGAGTTGAAAGGCCTTTTGGAGAAAAGTTAAAGGAAGAATCATCCTCCCATCGCACTCCATGCCGCGCGCCCTCCACCAGGATCACGCCGTGATCTTCTCGAAAGTTCGAATGGCAGAGGACGAGACGGGTGTGGAAGGCGTGGGTGGTGTGGCAAGCCCAGAGAAATGCCAACACAGGAGAAACAGTAGAGCAAGATAGAGCGCGCAAGCGCCATGTATAAGCGTAGCACATGCAACAGGATTGGGGATCCATTCTTCACACCACTCACATGACAGTGATTGGATTGGGAACCCGGCGTATTTCAGTTAAATTGGATTTCCATATTGAACGCAACCCCTCGGAACCAGTCTTTTAGCAAGAGGTGTACCGGACGGTCGGTGATGGCCAGAGACCAGGACCTCTTCGAACACTTTGATGTGGACAAGGAGTGCACTGAGGGCTGTTTTCGCCGTTGGGGCGACAGGATCCAGCTTCCCGTCGGTAAGTTGGGCATGGGCATCCCAGACCATCCATCCATGTAGAACATGTATTGCATTATGTGGCACCAGGCGTCACCAGAACCCCGCTGAGCTTGGAGGATAGGCGAGCCCAGAACATCCACTCACTTAGGGACAGGCAACTACCCCTTTGTGACTCCTGATAATATATGCCTCAGGCCCTGGATGCATGTATAGTGTTTTGGTTCATTCACTGCAACGCCAAGATTCTTTTGCGAAGCATTGGAGTGCTCATGGAAAACCACTCGGTGTGAGCCGGTGTAGGTCAGTTTGTGCACTTTCGGCGGGCACGCTCCAAGAATTCGGCAAGGCCACATTCAAACGTCTTTGAATTTGGGGGCTGCACTCAGCAGTGCCACAAGACTGTCCTGTTTCCATTCCTCAAGCACTGAAGAACTGCTCGGCGGGGTTGGAGTGGTTGCAGGGTGGTGACCTGTTGGAAGGTGCTGGTGGACATCATGTTTATATCACTGCATCGCTGGGGTAGCCCAAACCGAAAATAATCATAGCTAGAACCTCATTAGGCAATAATTTCCGCCTAACTTCATTTTTTTGGTAGAACATTCTGTTCCAGGTATTCCAGGTATTTCTGTCCGAGGATTTCATAGCCCCCCGTCCGGCACCGTGTGGCACGTGCTGAGTTTCTTTCCTCATTTGGCGGGGAGAACCCGAGGAGAAACCCTGCCACAATGACAGGGGTCGATTTGACCATTGTACCTTTGGCCTATGAGTTGTTCACTGGGGGGCATCCCCTCTATGAATCAGCCAAAATTAGAAGGCCATCCATGCGCCGTTCTTCTGCAGGATGGCCATTGGAATATGCAGGAGTCCATTGCCGTGAGCAAAGCCACCTTTGACTCGGCTCCTCTGACTCAGTGGGAAAGAGTTGCTTCGAGGTGGTGTGATGGGGTTGCAGAAAGACTGGAACACGGCCGTTTGGATGTGTTCGACTTCAACTGTTTGTACTAGAGCCTTTGAATATAAATGACTCCCAGACACTCCATGGGACTGGTATATTTACCTACATTGGGGTGGTTTTGGGGGTCAATGTAGGCATATATGGCATACATATCATACATGGAGTGTTTGGGATTGTTGGCAGCATTGTTGGCCTCATTGATTTGTCGGGACGAAAGTACCACAGAGAGATCCTGGAAACCATTCTGAAACTATATAGGCTGATGATGGCTGATGGGTCAGTTGTTGGCCAAGCGAATCTCCTCACACTCGTCATGGATACTTGGTTGCCGGAACCGCATGACACCAGAATTCCAGAATCTGGTTTCTCTAAATGCCTTTGCGGTTCTATCTCAAGGAAGACATGTGATTCCCCAAAAAGATCCAATCGTACCCTTTGTCGAACGAAGGTGGGACTGGGGTCTGTGTCACGTCCGTGGCCCAGGAGGGTCCCATGCCCACAGAGGAGGAGTTCAAAGCGGTCTTCGGGATGATTGTAGACACTGCAGCCGGACTGGTGGAAGGGCGGTGATCGGCAGGGCGGTGGGTGGAAGGGGATCAAAAAGGGCCCCCCCAAGCAGATGCCCCCAAAACAGAATCCGGAAGCCGAACCATGATCCCTTCAAGAGGTTTCGGGCTCCTTCCGGGAGCCACTATGATGAACGCCATCGTCGTCAAAATTCCATGAAGAGATTGTACCGTCAACATAGGTCCCCGATGTCATCAAAGTTCTCCAATGTTATTATTAATGCTTCATTCACTTAGTCGTTGTGAGCGCTGTGAGTTGAGGAAAGAAAGTGACTGATTTGCAATGTGCAATGATCCAGAATCATCTCAGTGGGCCGGATAGGGTATTGCTCATATGGTGTAGATGCACCGATGCACCATGATGCACCCACACTTGCTTTTTTCATGTGTTTTCCTCAGCCCCGCTTGTGGCGGATGCTGCACGTTCCGGCACTTTGCGCCGGACCAAGTGCTCCCTCGCGACGCCCTAGGTGGGCGGTGATAAGGTGAAGGGGCTCACCAAACAGCAAGTCGTGGCGATGCACCTCGGTTTCGCACGGCGTGGGTCGGCCCGGTTGGGTCGGCCCGGCGTCATGGTTTGCTGTGTTTTTGTTCGGCGGTCTCGCGGGGCTTGGGAGTTGTGGAGGGGAAGTGCCGTTGGTTTTACAATGATTTGCACCCTGGAAGACTAACATGGACCCTGAAAACCACTGGTTGATGGAGGAAAACACTCTTCCAGGGGGCCATTGTCAGGGTCTATGTTAGTTTTCGGGAGTGTATACATGTTGTTTGTTTTTGTTTTTTCTCGGGACTTCTTTTCTTGTGGGTCCCTTCCGTTCAGATGGCCCTTATTCGATGTTCTGGGTGTGGATGTCGACAGGATCTACCCGGTGGCCATACCGGGTTTCCACCGGGCACCGCAGAGAGTCCATCTTGCGCACACTGTGCGCTCTTCCATCTCTAGACCATCCAAGTAGAGGAACAGTGACATACATGGACGACCCCATGGCCCCAATGTATGTATTTGTTCAATTATACATGGACGGTCTGGGAATTTGATGCTCTCAAACTACCGAGAGAAACGACAAGTGGAAGCACCTGATGACGTCGTAGCTCTATGTCTATGTCCCAGACACTCCGGTGTATGGAATGTTTACCTACATTGATCCCCCTTTCAACCATCGTGGAGTGTTGATGTTGGGGCACATCGATTTGCCACCTCTTTCCACCGAAATTTCGTCGTCTCAGAACTTCCGTGTGAGATCTCACGACGTCGATCTTCGAGGTATTCCAGCCCAAAGTGGCAGAATGCCAATTGCAACATCGGCAAGGACCGGAGTCGACACATTCACAGCGACCACCAGTGAAAGCATGGGTGATGCGCCGTGCCGCGAAACACGGCGGGGCGGGGCCCGTAAGGTCGACCGTCCGGCTTGAGCCGCATGAATCAAGCGGCTTGAGAGCGGCCGGTGTGAGTTGTTGTTGGGAATGCGATGATGATTCTTATACCTTCCAGCACCTTCAAAGGGGTCACCAATCAAAGCCCCTATAGAGTACTTCGGGATCTCCATTCGACACCCCTTGAAGGTTCAGGTTTCATCTTGATGGGTTTCAGAGCCAGTAGTGGGGTAACTCCAATGTGAATATCAGACGCGACCACCGGGCCCCCCCAAAACACCGTGCCCGAGTCCTCGTCGATCTCGTTCGCAGGACTATGGCTTAGTCTTCACGAAGCCCAAGCTCAGGAAGATGGCCGAGGAGCAGCAATCATAGCCGGTTAAAACCCCTTGCCAGACGATGTTGAAAAGGGGTTTTGTGAGGAATTGTGGGCCTGAGTGGAGGATGATGTCGAACACATTGGGAGTCCACCCCCAAATTGGAATTGCCGGGTCGCCTGCCAGGATCCCTCCAAGTTGAGGAAGCACCACCAAACCTCACCAACACCGCGACGCGATTCCCCAACACCGACGTCGCCCAGGAGTTCTTTGATCGCTTCGACGCGGACCGAGACGGTCACTGGAACTTCGCCGAGTCCACCGCGGCCGCCCAGGCGCTCCCCAGAGATCGGTGCAGGCAGAAGGTCGTCCGTGTGGATTGGTGTTTTTCTTTGTGTGTTGAACTTTCGTTTTTGACCGGCGATGGGTGGTCAAGATGTGAGCAATTTCGATGTTTTCGCTACGATATCAGCTATACCTCAGCTACGGGGCTGCCAAACGTGTTCCACGTTCTTTCCCGTCCCGGTACCTTCACCTCCCGCGCGTCTTCCTGGACAGGCCACGAACGACGCACCGCCAGACGAAGAGACCTTTTTGTGGCTGGTGGAGCAGGCGAGCGTGGCAGGGGCGGAGAAGGGCTCCAAAGTTGATTAGGGTGAACAGGCATGGGGTACTAGTAGTGATGCCCTTGTTACTCGTAGCTTCTTGCTACGTATGTAATATATAATTGCCCTTGTTACTAGTATAGCCCTCCAGCAAAGGATTTCTTGCGTTGATCTTCTTCCCGTCAGTGGGTGCTTTCTTGCATCCACTTGTTTCTTCAAAAAGAAACTTCGACCAATGCGTGGGGCATGAGCACACCAAGACATGTCATGGGTCATCCTGCGATGAGGTTGGAGGCGACAAGAGCAAGGGCCTGTCCAAACTGAAGGTCGTTGACATGCGACCTGGAGTTGGGGGGATGTGGACCAATCCACATGGGATTGTGATATCATGCTTGCACCGGGGTGTGTGCTTACGATGTTTTAAGGGTCAATGTCGGTTATTAACAAAATCCGTACATGATGGTTTGTGGGATACAGGATATGTGAGGATGAGGATCGCTTTCCATTCAGCTCGGAAGTGCAGGTGCTTCTTCAACTGCAGGTTCTATATACTTGTGGTCGCTTTCCATCATATTACAAGGAACGCCTGAAGTCAGAGGTCCGCCATTTCACGGCTGCGAGACATTTGGGCGACCTGAGCATCCACGTTCGGTCACGAGGTTCGGTCGACCGAACTCAAAAACCGGAGAAGCCGCTGAGAACACACTGAACACACGAGCTGAGAAGCCAAGGTTCTTGTACAAGCCTCCATAAGGTACACCTGCACGAAGTTCAAGCACTTAAACTTGGATATCAAGAAGGATTACGACTACGTCTTTCCAGGCGCCGGCGAACCGGCACCGGCGAACCGGCGGCCTTTCACCCCGCCGACGGACGGACGGAAGGGGCCGTTTGGAGGCCGTGTTCGGTCGTGTCGCACGACCTGACGAAGACGTCACATGGAGACCATGGGACCAGGGCCTTAGGGCCTTAGGGCTCGAAGTATCGTCTAAGAATAGGTGGGACTGGGGTGGGTGCCAGGAGGGTCCAGTCGTACCTTCTGAGGGTACTGTACGACTGGAGCCCTAGAAGACGAACGGTTACGGTATACAAAGACTACGGTTTTTTCCACTTCCATGGTACGAAAGGTGAGTCGTATACTGTATACGATTGGATGTACTGAGCTACTGGGTGATCATCCGACATGGGCTTCGAAAGAACATGGGCTACTGGGTGGTCTTCAAATAGATAGTGGCACGGCTTCCAATATACATTTTGAGTGGGGGATCTACTTTTCTATCTATTTGGAAGGGGGTGTCCTTTGGAAATTCTTGGGTTGCCGCGTTGGAAGGTAAATTGAGAGGCCATCGCCATCGCTATTAGGTTGGAGGCCATTACTACTAACAAGAAGCTACTAGGTTGGAGGCCGTCGCTATTAGGTTGGAGGCAGAGAAGCTTGGCAGCCCAGGATGGAGTCCATAGAACTTGTGACCAGACAGCAGCGTGGTACATCGCCGTCAGACAGCAGCCCAAGAGTGACGGAGGAATTTCCCACAAAATCCGGGAAGAAAGATACACCTTGGAAGACTAAACCCCTGGTTGGTAGAGGAAAATAGTCTTCCATGGGACCATTGTCAGGGTCTATGTTAGTTTTCGGGAGTGTAGCTTTGCAACCTTGGGGGGGACAGCAGGACCCTCAGCAGGACCCTCACACAGATCTTCAAACATAAGCCCAGAAGAGGTGAAACAGCTCCCTCCACCAGGATGGGAGCTGCCTTGCAAACAGATGCACAATGAGATGAAAGAGAAGGAACCACACAGACACATTCATCCCTTTCCTCGGTAAATCCTGATGGCAATCACCATCGATGCCATCGGGGTGTGTTAGTGCGACTGACATGGGGCTGGCACGATCTTTCGAAGCCGACCATATATAATATCCTTTAGAACCTGAGTGCGGAATGTTTGACGGAATGTTCCATGCTTTTCCTGTTGCATCCAGCGACCATTCCGTCAAAGACCTTGAGAATCCAGGCCACCCACCCTCTTGAACACTTCTACACACCTTGGCCACGGCCTTTCCAAGACCCTTATAATTATATAATTATGTAATGTTCAATGTGTTTTCTTAATTCATATTGTATCTTATTTGGCGTTGTAGTGGTTTGTAATCCTAGAGCCATTGTTGATCGGGGACCCCATTTGGGCTGTGGTTTGTTTGGATCTCATGGCGCCGCCGTAGGCGCTGCCCCAGCAGATTTGGATCCGATGGCTGCGCTCGCCGGACGGTAGGCGCAGGGATGATGGCGTTCTGGTGATTTTTGTCTTCACTACAATATTATGTAGACGCTTGATTACTAACGCCCCCCATTTGGATGCACGGACTTGCGGTTCGACGCGCCTACACCGCCCCTTGTCACCTGATGTGACGGGTACAGGTGGGTTGAGCATGTACACTGTGGGACAAGGGCAAATGCAAAATGCTCAACGCGGACACACTTGATTGAACCCCGTCTTGAGATCACTGAGAAATATATATGATGCACCGCTGAACTAAAGGAACGGCCTTTGACCATCTACTGTTGTGTGGCTTACAGGAGACAGGCTGTAGACCTTTGATCGGTGGCGAGTCACAAGCCGGAAGGTTCCCCCCAGGCGCAGGAAAAGAGCTACAGTGCACAATGCTTCATAAGCCACTGGTGATTTTCATTAGTGGCCGGAGCTGACAAAAAAGGTAGCCTTTGGCTGAAGTCCATTGATTGAGGCTTTGATCCTGCACGTCAAGTCTGCACTGGAGCGTTCAAGAAAACATGACTAGAAGCCAGTTGAGCAGACTATAGTCACATCAAAGCCCTCCATTCTTGCGAATTCTATCGCACGGCCTGTCAAAACAAGTAACAAGTACTCCCTGTCAACACGGCCTTCAGAGGGTGGACTATCCGTCAAGTTCCCAGGAAGGTTGCCGGTGGTGTTTTTGCACGCCGCAAAGAGTCGACGGAAGCGAAGTGGCTGGTCCAGTTTTTCCGGCCTGTGTGGCACAACAGTTCCTCCGCAAAGTGACTGGTGTTCTCCGAAGAGCCTTCGTTTCGGTGTTTGGGGTGGGTTTAGAGGGTCCAAATATCTTCAAATACCTTTCCAGGAGGTACTTGGAGCCCTAGAGGAATGGAACGGACCATGTGCGCCCCCAGGCGGCGGTGCCTCCACGTCATCAAGGACCATAACACCCCGACCACGGACCACGACAGCCAGCTCACCCATAACTCCCATTTGGATTGTGAAGCCTATAGTATTTATAAATCATGAGTCTACGTAAAATGATCTTTAAATGACCTCGAAGCGAATCAGGGGCGGCTGCTTCCGGGGAGGTCTAACTCCGTCGCTTGGAACCGCATGCGGCGCCTGCAGGTCCGAGCACCGTTCCGGGACGGAAAGGATCCAAACAATGACGGCGAAAAGATGTGTAAAGCGAAAGGGAGAGAGGAACAAGGCAGACACACCCAACCCAGTTCGCATGGAGTCGGTTACTCTTAGCCGCAGCCCCCCCGGGGGGCACGTTGACGTCACTCTCTCTCGCCGGACGTTTGTTTCGTTGGAGCCTGTGGCAAACACCGCCCAGTTCGCTCCCAACCTTTTCCGTGGCTCACCTCGCACCCTCGCAGGATTTGTTCGGGTACACCCGGAGGTTTCAGTGCCCCAAAAAGGTTCCGGGAAGGACGTGTTAAACTAGCCCCATTTGTGTTACCAGCATGTTTTTCCGTTTACCAGGGCATGAGCCGTCGATGAATCCGGTTTTGCACCTGGCGTTGGAGAGCCCAGTTGGGACCCGCACATGTGACGAGATCTGGCCATACAGGGGGACACCGAGAACGCACCAATTGTTCAAAACAGGTACAAGAAGAGACCACAAGCATGTTGTTGATAGGGTCTAGCTTGTTGATGGCTTGGGGAGACATCCAAATAGCCATGAAATTGGACCAACTCCCTTTCTGGCAGGTGGGAAACAGGTGTGGTTGGTTGGAACAGGTATCCGCGAAGGTGAGACTTGCGTGAATCGAAGCACCTTGCCTACACCATGCAATACAATCCCAACAAGTCCAAAGACCCAGTTTGTAGAGAATGCAATGGCACAGGCACACATTCCCTGTCGATGACCGGATTCTTCACCAGGCATTCAGGAGTGACATCTTGCAGGGCCCGGATTAGGGTCAGGAAAATGTTCCTTTTTCATCCTTTTTCATCCGATGTTTTAGACACACCCCATGATTCTGCGGTCACTTTTTGGACCTCAGAGATGGTGCTCCATGAAACCACTCCCATCAAACCGGGGAGCGCCTGACGGGGTGCGGAGCCGCGGCTCTCGGCCGCCAACTCACCAGATGAAGCTGGGGACGTTGGCGGGCCGGCGCACGGCGCCTGCGGCTGGCGTGTTGAGCTGTGTAGGTCAGAGCTTTGCTGACATGTCCTGAGCCAGGGCAGTCTAGAGACCAAGAAGAATTCAGAAGCCGATGTTATTTGCCTGGGACTCTCTCTCTCTCTTTTTTTTTTCTCTCTCTCTCTCTCTCTTTGTATATATATAGAGGGGGGGTGTCCAACATCATACTGTTGCTGGTGATGGGATATGCCCCCAACATACCAACCCCTACCATCTAGTCTCAAAATACTGTAACCCACAAACAGACCAAGACTTTGAGAGAGAGTTTTGACATCAACTTTGAGTTTCTCTGTCGATTCATCTTCAGCCACAGAAGGTCAGCAGCAATGCAGCTGATGATCCAAAGAATAGTGAAGAGCCAGACGAACCAAAGAGAGGTGAAGAATGGCCTCGTGAGTGGGGGCCTCTACAGGTTCTACATGCCCATGGTTTGGATGAGGTGTGCGAGAATTGGAGGGGGAAATCACTCGATTAAGCCTGCTACTACTGAAGAGTGTTTGCTTGTCATTTCTAAAGTAAGAAGTGGAATCTTCCTTTGGCAACTGCTGGTGGTGCCTCTTTAGCTCAGGGTAGTCAGAACTGGTGTAAGATTCTTGAAATGTTCCGAGCTATTGGAGAGCAATGCCCATTTGAAGCTGCTCAGTTTGGCTAGCGGCTAGCTCTCGCCAGCCCCGATCATTAGCGCCCATCCGAGCGCACAGTGCCCAGCTGTTGAAAAAGGTGGCGAATAGTTTACAAGTGATCAGAGTAGGCCACAGAGGGAACGAGGGCTCATTTCTGTGGTTTCCCGTTGATCTGGATGAGCTGTGCTGAAAGATCAAACACATCCTATGATGCAAGTTCTGTTCAGAAGCAAGTTTTACACCTTCTTAGTTAAAATAAGCACAAGGAGTCACAAAGGGGTGGTGTTTAGTCCCTAAGGGTCCCTAAGTGAGTGGATAATGGGCACCCCAAACCTCCATTAAGCACCCCTTTGTGACTGTTGGTACGTTCTCGTCATTTGCTTGAAATGCTTGAAACCTCAACGACCGGGGATCGGCCACTCGAAATCCTTCCAACGAAAAATTATGTAATTGTCCAGCACCTCCCCTTGAAGGGCTTCGGATTTGTCTTGGGCATAGATCTAGCCTATACACACCAGGAGTCACAGGTCGGGGTGCTTTTGAGTCCCATCCAGGGGCCGTGGATGTGATAGGGCCCCCCCTATCATCCAAGCTCGGCACACCGTCTTGTGAATCCTGGTGCCGTTCCAAGACTTCTCAATGCCCATAAGCTCCAAACATTGAGGAACGCTGGCTCAGAATCAGCGATCCCCATATACACCCTTGAAGCCCCTTGGAAACCAGCCCCAAAACCACTGAGTCGCTTCAAAAAACGAAGACCACTATACCATGGGAAGTATACGGCTCCAAGTGCCTTCTCAGAAGGTACTTGGACCCTAGCTGGCGCCTACATGTAGCAGTCTCTTCAATCCACCGTACCTCACAGGGTGGTCTGCAGATCCCGGGACAAAGAGGACCCGAGGAAACACGTCCGTACGGCCGGCGCCGGACCTGGTCCCCCAGCCAGTTCGTCCGACCTGGCAGGTTGGGCGATCGAGTGCACGCGTGGGACACCGAGACGGCCGAGGTCGAGATCGGTCGACGGATGGGATCGGTGGTGTGGTGAAGGGGGGGTGGAACGATTGGATGCTGTTCGCTCTTTTTTTGGGGGGGGAGGGCCCAGGGATGCGTATGCATCGGGTGGAGATCGGAGTTGCCGGGATCCAGTGGCTTTGACAGTGCTGGAATGGCTGGAGTCGATGGAGTCCAGATGAGACAAAGCTGACAAAGCCTAGACCCCGACCTACCCAGTGATTGGATGACCCTTCACCAGTCCCTTCACCTTTTTTGGGACATGGCTTTCCTCCATACACGTGAACAGGTGGAAGAAGGTCAACAGTTGGAAGCAGCGGTCATGCTTCGGCCACGAATCACGAATCACGCTCCGAGGAACACATCACGCATGGAAGTGGACAAAAGCCATGTTTGTCAAGGAAAGTCGTCTTCCCGAAGGCCATGGTCCATTTCCATGTGATGTGTTCGTCAGAGTGTAACGGCAATGGCGCCATGCTGGTGGTGCCATGCTTGGTGCATTGAGACGTCTAGTGCGGTCAGACGTTGCATGAGAAGAAACGGAAGTATCGATTCATGCCGGGGCTTCATAGGCCTTCCTAGACGTCAATTCAAAGAGGTTTGGGGTGAACATGGCCTGGTAGATCAATCTCCCATGCATCCAAAAAAATGACAACTCAACCATTTGAGAAGCCGCAAAAATTGATCCCTCCTACATCATCCTACATCCCTTAAGACTCACTCGCGGGATCAGCCGGCCCAAACCGCAGGTGCGACCTGGTTTGGGATCCTAGGGCGTTTGATCGCGTCGGCACTGCCGACCGGCCGGCTGGGCGCTGGGCGGCAGGGTGCGGCTGGCCACTAGGGCTCGGTGTGAGTCCTGGCGAGTGTTGACAGAGGTTTTTTCTTTAAGACTGAGTTTGGCCATGCCTTCATCTAAAGCTTCACTGTTCCCTCCCACAACGATTTGGGCAAGAAGCAGCCTGTACTTCTTTGGACAAATTTCTGCTATGAGGGATTATGAGGGTATATGCTGATAAACAAAGCATAACAAACCACAACAAACCACTGAGAAACCATAACAAACCACATACACCACCACTGGATTTGGTGAAATTTTTTGGGTCGTTCAGCCTTCCCTTTTTCGTTTGGCATCGAGGTCGCCGCGGGCAGACGCCTTGCCACACGGGGCGGGTGGTTTGTGCCACGGCCTTTTGCGGTGATGATGTGGACTTCGGCCAAGGAGA